TTTAAGTAGGTAATACTAGCACTAATTAATCCTTTAGCTCCACATCAATTATAATCTACTTCATCATAAATTGTTCTGATTGCTGCTTCCAGGTAAAAACAAAACTGAAGTGTGTTGAACCGGACTCAGGAAGGCTTGGGCAGTATTACGGTAAGAACGCACACCGCGGTAAAATGTGGAGGAAGTTGGTCGGTATTAAAATTCGGATACAAGCCTAGTCTCTGTCAGAATTAGAAATCAACTGATTTCCATCTGCAACCCACCTTGGAAGTACGCCTAATAATTAAGAATAAAGTATTTTGTATATGAACAGCCCACTCCTCCATACTCCAAAACTAATTTAAATCTTATTTTATAGTTACAGAAAAGTGATAAAATCCTTGAGAAACAGGATTTCTCTCTCTCCGCGTGTGGTGTTTAACCCATCGTCTACTCGTGTTTTTCCCCTCGAAAGAGACGGATGGTCCATCTGGAAGTTTGCTCGGTTTCTTCTGCCTCCCTTAGAGATGAAACAAACGCTGCTGATTTCCAACCACCAACACGGCGTTCCGCAGCAGAACTGTTGGATTTTCCCTTCTCACGTTAAACTAAATGTTTGTGTTTGCATGTTTCTTTGTGCTGACTGTTCACTTCATCACTCTTTCTGCCAGCTCTGCCTGCTCCAGCGCTGCTTTTTCTTCTCCTAATGAGAAATGTTGGATCCTATTCATTCACAGCCTTCAGAAACACAAGAAAATAAAATCAATCTGTTCAAGGGAGTCCCTTCATTCAAATGCAGACCTCCAGATCACAACGGCCAGATAGTTTTTCTCGTCACCTCTCACAGCCTCGATACGATGGAGCAAGGACGTTTGGGCTTTTTGTGAAGCTACGGCTCTGCGACACATTGTGTGGAGAGAAGGCGGCGATGACTCGTAACAGAGAAAATACAGAAAAATGAGCTACAAGCTGAAACTTAATATTAAATATTGATCAGGTGGGACAGGAATCACCGATACTAAACGAATAAATGTTATTAATGCTGTTATTAAGAGCCTCCCTCGGTCATTTGGGAGTTTTGACGGATTCCCTCCGGAAGTCTTTTGATCTGTGTCTCCAACAAGTGGCTCTGATGGATTTCTGTGTGGGAGTCACAAACCCAATCACAAACAACCTCAATAGCCAATTAGAACCCTCCCTGCTGGTAGACGGGCTGCAAGTCATTTAATTGATTCGTAACATTTCTGGCCAAGATAAATGCAAATACGGATTCATTCATCAATTATTCATGCCTGCTGATTTCATGCAGACACATGCAAACAAAAGCAGGTGTCCCGCTCTAGAGAGGTGAGGGACAGTGTTCCACACCTCCGTTTTCCTCCTAAACACGCTCGCGTTTCATCCGGATCTTTGTTCTACTCTGAATAATTGTTCTTCCAGTCAAAAGGCTCGCAGAATACAGCGAGATTTAGAGAGATCTTCAGCTCGGGAACTGGCAGGACCTCTGTGTCGTGTACCGTGTGGTGCTCCGCCAATACATGAAGTGTGTGGGCTTGAGTGAATAAAAGAGACGTTTTCCACAGACTGGAATGAGAAAATCTCATTTAGAGTGTTTGCAGCTCCAACTCAGAGACTTAAAAATAAAAATAAATACATGTGTCACGTGTGTGAGACTAAAACCAGACAAATGGTAGAAACCTGCGAGGCCCGGCTCGTGCCAGCTGAGGAAATAAAACAAGAGCTTAGAGGAAAGCTGTGCTCTCAGTTTTGTAATCAACGCACTTGGGTTTGAAAAACAGTGCGCACAAATTAGCAAACAAACTTATTTTGTTAGAAACCAAGATAAAGAGCCGAACTTCCAGATGAATGGCTCCTAAAAACAACAAGACCGGCTGTGAGACGACGGCACAGGGACCATCTGAAGAAAGCAACATTTACCTTTCAGGTAAATCCCTCCATTAAAACCGACCGCTGACTCAAAACTTTCTCCTTTCCGGCCCAAGAGAAGAATGAAGACAAAGGACTCTTTCTTTTTATTAACTCAAAGAACTCTATTTTTAATAAGCTAATCAAACAAAGTGTTAGTCAATAATAAAATGTGAACCAATTTGTGAAATTAAAATATTAATTACTTGAATATAATAAGTAATATAACTTTAAATGTTTACACTAGAGACTGATCACATGTAGAGTTAAGACATGACACATTGCTTTTACTGATCCAATCAGAATCTTGCAGATCTGACGAAGGCGTGGTTTTGGTGGTGCTTGGTAAATCTGTCAACTTTTCATTCGACCATAAATCAAAACATCCAAATTATAAAACTATGCTCACGTCATCTTTAACGCCAGTTCAAAGCGTTCTAGAGAAGTTGTCGGAGTGGCCAATCCGTAACTTTTCTCTTCAGCCGAAAGAACCAACGACAAACTGGATAAAATCTGTTGCTGTTCCACCTGCTGCAACGGTTCCTTTCAGAATAAAAGCTGAATCATCACGACCCCTTTTTGGGTCTCGCTAGATGCCAACAAAACTGTCGTGACCCGGAAGTATCTCAAGACTGGTCTGGTCGGCAACCGTTGCTTTTCCTACCGGCTTCGGTTCCAAAGAGGTCCAAGCTGGACCTCGACATTCCTGATCTAGACGGGGACTTCCGCAAAGGGTACGTAGGCCGGCAGAATGGCGTCTTAATGTGTGTTATAAATCTCCAAACCAAAAGCTTAGCGCGAAACATTATCTTCACTCCCATCAGAACTAATGGTTTCTCTGGATTTGCTGGTTCTGAACAACATTCCTCACTACACCATTCTCCGTCTCACTTCACCCTAGTTACACCATACATTTAGTGTTTACAGTTAGCCTAGTTTTATTTTGTTTAGTAATAAATCTTTAAACTTTTAAAACTTGTTCTGTTGTCTCTGAGTTAATACGAAGTCGTTACATAATCCCTGCAATAAAAAGTTCCAGTCTTCTGGTTTAAATTATCCAAATGGCCATAAGATTGATTTCATAGTTCCTATGGAATCTCACATTTTATGGTTTCTTCATTAAATAATATGTAAATGTAATCGTTACAGAAGTACCCTAGAACGTTAGCTGGTACCATATGATGTCACAATGTCGTTGTGAGCCTGTGTGTGTGTGTGTATTTGTTAGCGGCTCTGCCCTCTCGGTCTGCTAGGCAACAGCAGTTGTTGCATTTTTCAAACAGGAAGTGGGAGTGGAGTAATACTCTGGTAGGGGGTGACTTGCTCTTTAACATCAGCTTTCGTATTACTCTGGATAAATTGTTTTTGTTAGACGTTGCACTTTATAGACAATCCCCAAGACCTCATAAGCTGCTGTGCACAGTCATGTGTTTGTTTTTCTAAATTGTTTTACCTCTTTAGAAACTTGATGGTTTTTGTATGTTCCTTTACAATTTTTAAAAGTCATGATTTCAATCTCATTTTTTTATTTTTATCTGTTGTTTTAAAATGTATTCAGGGTCTAAAACCTCTAGACAAATCAAATCCAAGCACCCTGTTATTCAAATATAAAAGTAAATCTACCCTACACAAAAATGTATGTTACTGTGCCACAACCAATCAAACTACTGCTCTTTGTGGAGTTAACTGCGGGTATACTTACTGGTAACCTACAATTAAAAAGGGAAAATGTAATTAATTTGGATGAAATAAATACGATTAAAAAATCCACACATTTGACAAAGAGAAATTAATTATGTAGGATAAGCCAATCTATGGTTTTAATTGTAGGAAAAGGCTTCATGGTACAGATGGATGGTGGGAGAGATTCTCAGAGAGGGTTGGCAGAACTAGAAGATGGAATAAAAAGCAGAGGAGAAAACGGACGAGTTTAGGATGGAGTGTGGGGTTGGAGCATTTCAGAGAGGTATGGAGGAGAATCTGGAAGTCAATGATACTGGAGGTGTCTGAGGACGTGTTCAGTAGATGGAGTTCTGGACCAGTTAAAGCTCACAGATGGGTTCGTTGGGTAGACCAGTGAGAAAAGAATCAATATATGAAGAAACGAGAGAATCTGTGTTATTGGCTACTTTATGAAGATAGCTGATGGTGTGAGGATGAAAGTGCGAGGAAGGAGGAGAGCATTTGTTGTTCAAATAAAATGTGCAATCAAAGACGATACAGTCTCCCAATGCTCAACTTAAAGAAAGGGATGGGGTTCAATAGCGGTTGAGAAATGTATTAGATTCAAGACCTTGATGTGGGTCATGAATGAACAACTGGGGGTTGGGAGGTCTACGGAAAGCAAAGGAAGTTTAAACATGAATGTACATTTTATATTTAGCACTAGTTAAAAAAAAGACACAAAAAGTTTCACAAGATCTTTTGCTAAACAGCTGATTACAGTGGTTTGTCTAAAGAGTTAAATGGTTTACTGTTTCTGACACTTATTTTGTAGGTCAAATTCTGATTGGGAAACGACGACATGGAGCCTAGAAGGTTTACCGCACTTACACTTTGGGCACACAAGTTTTACATTTCAAGGTATATGAGTGGGATTTTAACCCTAAAGCTAGGTGTCATCAGCATAGCCGCAAAACTCATTACAGCTTTTGTTTAAAAAATCAAGTTCTGGCAAATACAGTGTTATGATTAAACCATAAAACTGCAGCTCCATTATTGGTTGTTTTCGTAGGGAATGGATCTTTTCTAATGGAACTGGATAACCAGCACAGAACAAACTTAAAGATGATCTGCAGCTGCTCAGAGAAAGTATGACCCGTGAATCTGGATGTTAGGAGTCTCTGAGATGTGTGATTAAAGTCACACTTCCTGAAACTTTCAAACAAATCACAAATCATACAAAGTAGGGTTTCGAGGACTGAGCCTTGAGGAACACCAAAGGTAACTCGAGATTAGAAAGGAACAGAATTTGAGTTTTTGTTCAGTGCAGGGTTTTACTTGTTTAGATATGAAGTGGGGCCATTTTCATGCTTTAGTTTGTTTTAAAACTATCAGCAGAAACTAAACAATAGCTGAAATGAATATTCTTTTACCTCACTGTTGAAAAGCAGTCTTCCAAAGAGCTCTCGAGCTTCATCCAAACCTCCTTCTAAATAAACAGCGCCTAAAAAACCCAACAGAGAACAAACGGTGCACATTCAGAACCATCATACATCAAACAAAACAATAGGGCTGTCGTGGTTGAGGAATTCCCCCTGCGGTGATTCAGGGTGGCTTAATATTGCAGTGTGCGATATTATTGCAGTCCTTTTTTTTATTGCAGTACTATCTAAACATAATGCTTACACATTTAAAAAAGGTTAAAAATTGCCGTGCCTTCTTTTATAACACTTTACTGAATGCAGATCAAAGGGCAGTAACAACACAGATCGCAGTAACGTTTGTTTGTCCGACAGTCGGAGTCCGACTGAACTTAAAAACAACAAAATTCAGGAGGTTAAACTTTTAAATGCAAATTTGGCTGCAGCATCTAACAAATAAGAAACAAGTCCCCATTTTGTTTAGTTGTTTAAAATCAAGCATAAAAAATTACATGTACCGGGCGGGCGCACTATCACTTCACTTTCACACACACGAATGACGGTGATTTATAGCTCGGTCACGTCCGTGTTACCTACAAGGAAAACCAGCATGTTAACCATATACGGTTTGAGAGAGGATCTGAGAGGGGGGGCAACATTTCCAGCAACACTGAAAACCCTCTCGGATGGTGCGCTCGTTGCACTAACGCACACGTACTTGCGTGCGACTGGCGAGCAAAGGGAATCTCTCCCGGTTGTTGCTCCACCATGTCAGGGGGGTTCTTTAGGGTGGATGCATTCCTCCTGCAGGTAGCGAGTGAGCTCCAGCTCGGCTCAAACTCTCTTCGGGACGGTTGCAGAAGCAGTGCTTGTCCGGGACTTCAGCAGGTCTCCGAGCGTTTATTATTTATTTATTTTTTGCCGCTGGTGGCAGCTCCGTCTCGGCCAAGGACTCTGGCTGCGCAGCAGCTGACGTACTGAAAACCAAAGTGCTCCCAAAGGAGCGAAGTAACGTTTCGTTTTGATACCAGTGCAGCCATCCTTCTCAACATGCATCATTGAGTTGAACCAAGTTCAGTAATCGCGGTGGCGCATGATGCAGCGCGGTGGGCGTCTTCATATTGCGATATTTCATTTTTGCGGTTACCGCGACAGCCCTATTAACAAATACAAGAAATATTCAACCTGAGATCCTTGAAAATTGAGAAAATGAGGAATGGGACTTTGCGAAGATATTTTCTTCTCATCCTCAGTTTTATAAAACCTAACAGAAAAGTGTGAGGTGCAGAGCTTTTACATGGTATTCTGCTGTTTTCTGTTTGAATTAGGTATACTTCTTAAATGAGAAATGAAATATGGCCACAAAAATACAGAAGCTGAGTTTCTATTTTTAGACCCCAAGGAGAGCCATGCCCTGGATAAATAAGAACCATCATATTTCAGTTTCTTAAACAAAACGCCACCCCTCCGAACACGGATTTAATATGAAAACATGACATTCCACCACCGCATTACAAAATGCACCAATTCTGAGGCAGTTTCTGACTTCTCCTAATGGAAAACTTAAAATTAATTGAACTCGGCAATGAGTTATAATTGCTTTATTAAAAGTAGGAGTGCATTTTTATTGCTTTTTGACGTTGAAATGACCTTGGGGTTCCTATGCAGATCCACCTCCCTCCTATCAGAGGAGGAGGAGGCTGTTTGCTTCACTGCGATGAGAGGGAAGTGGCTAAGGTCAGGTAAACCTACTGCTTGAACTAAGAGGTGCACAGAGCCTGCATCAAGCGTTACAAAGCATGAGAGAAAACATACAAGCCCACATGGTGGATCGGTGCTATTCATGGACAGTTTGGGCCGAGGTACAACGTCCCCTTTGTCACTCGCCTACACACTCGGACATGACTGATCTGCACAGATGTTCAGTGAATCCACGTTGAATTGCACAGTGAAAATAAACACGTTTATCCATAACGTGCACACACCAACAGATGCATGCAAAAGACAAAGAGCGAGGGAAGAAATGTAAACAAGTATTCCAGATTTCCGTCTGTATGGGAATCATTCGCAGCCTCATGGGCTCATTCTGGTGCTTTTCACTAGTCGGCTCTCCTTTGTGTCTTTTGTCATTTGGCTCTTCTGGTGTTTCTGTTGAAATCGGTGGAACTATCACGGCACCTTAAAGCTGCACACAACTTCTAAACCATCACACTTAGGGCAGCTCATTCAATTTAGAAGGCAATAACCACCTGGCAAATTGGGTATACAATCGCGTGCTGGTTTTTATTATGAGCAGAAATGAGCTGGTGGAAATGGGGAGCGGTGCGGTCGCCAGTCTAAATGTGCAAACTGCTTTCATGGCCGACATCAAAAACATATGAGGGATTCATCATCTGAGGAGGGGAAACTGCTTTCAGATGGCTAACAGGCCATTTACGCGCACACAGAGTCGCACAGGAGGAGTGAAGATGCAGCCTACATAGCCACGACCATAAAGAAACACAAACAAACTACCTGACACAAAGACAAACAAATGCACTCCCACTCCGTCTGCCTTTCGTGTCCTTTTCTTCTCAGCAGAATGGGACATCGCTCACAGCTGAAGCCCAGACGTCAGTGAACTTGATAAAACCTGACACCTCTCTCTCACCCAGCAGTGGCTTCTATAACTACGGAGGCCTTTTATTAATATAAACCATTGTTGATGAATGCAGCGTGGAAATTGTGGGAGGCTGTGTGGCTTTTTGCCAAAAAAAGCCATTTCCTGCCACGCTTGTGCCTAAAATAACAAGCCAGTAAATCAATACCTATAAATCTTTAGCTGCACAAACATTGAAAGCCACTAAAGCCGTTGCAGATGTGTATCAGAAGCAAACGGTCTACAGTCTTGACATGAGGGGGCAAGCGTCTCATGGAGGCTGACCACAAGAGGCTCTGGAGACGGGAGCGGTTCTTCGCAGCATGTTTTCCACTAAGCACCAGCCCTGAGATCTGTGGTTTCGTCATTATGTGGACCTCAGCAGATGTTCCCTCTGGAGACCAGCTGTGGGAGGATTAAAAACTCCCTCCTACGACCAACTTCTCCATTTCTTTCACTCAGAACACAATGACGAGCGTGATCGCGGAGACCGGGGGAGAAGGGTGGGGCCGCGAGCGAGTTCTCTTCATGTTTCGATGACGAAGCAACCTGGGAGAGTTCATCAAACGAAGCGGTTAAAATTCAGAGTTTTCTTGTTAGATTTTCAAAACTTGTTCTGAGAGAAATGTGGAGGTAAGCAGGGAGAAACCAAGCAAGCCCCCAGAGATTTTAAAAGGTATTAAAAATCTAAAAGCAACACCTTTGGTGTCAATCAAAGGGGCCTGCGGACGAAGAAACCAAGATGAAGTCTAGCGAGAAAACTCCTGACAAGGAGGCTGTCTGAGCAAAAAGTGCAGCCCAAAGCAATCCAATCAAACACACAACTCGCTGCAATCATTAAACGGAGATCTGTGCTGCTTCTCAATCCAGCCCATCAGCCTGCAAAGCTACAGCTGATGCCCTGAATACACACAACTCAACTGGTAATTACAGATCCCTCCTCGGCTCATCCTGCAGTAACTTCATGCTCGGGCCGAATCGCCCAGAAGCCTGAGAGTTACGCCCCGCATGGGACAGTGGTATAAGTCTACAGCTGATGGGGAGCTGCTCAGGTTAAACACCAGTGCTTATTTAGCCATCACAGATGACTAAAAACATCAGGGGTCATCCGAGGATCAGGGCCGTCTACAAACATTTTTATTTTAATCTAGAAAATGAAAGATTGGCCTTCAAAAAGCCTGGAAAACTAATGATGCTTGAAATAATTACAAGTCTGAGGGATTAAATATCAAATATTCACAAAAATCAGGAATGACTCAAAACTTTTATTTTGTTTATTCTGTGAATTTTAGTCCAAGAAAATCCCTGAAGTCTAAAATAGATCACCGTTTTCATTAACCTGATTGGTCGGCTTCATATCCAATCACAGCTGGAGTTTAAGCTTTAAAAATAGCAACAAAAGCCTGCGACTGTTGCACGTTTTAAATCAAAAAGCACCTAAACACGTGTAATATTCATCAAAAATAAAGACCTGTTTAAAGATTGGAGCCAAACTGACTGTTTCAACTGATCTTTTTATCTACTAATGTGTCCTTTAATGCGGCTCTTTGAGGATTCTCCAATTCAGCAGGACTTTGGACAGTTTGTTCAGTTCTTTAAGCCAGAACGTTCCCTCCAGATTAGGAGGGAACGCTGGCCTGAAGCAAAGAAGTTTTAGGATCTGGTGACGGGGGTGGGTAGCAGGATCTGAGCCAAACTGGGGCCCAACCTTCGTGGAGACGTTGGGGCTTGGCTAACAGAAGTAAACTCTGGATGCAAGCTGCTGATCCGATGAGGAGATCCGTCATCCATGAGTGCTGCTGCTCCTCATCAAATGGGGTCGACTGAGGTGCTCTGGCATCTACTGATCGAACTCGGGTGAATGTTTTTACGATCATTTTTCAGTCCAATGATGGGAAAATGAAACAAACAGATCCAGAATGACGTTAAGTGGTTTGACCTAAAACAAGTTGGATCGTCCCACAGAGTCCAACCCTAAAAACGTGACCCGGGTCAAACAGAAGACTGGTCATGGTCCAGTCGTGTGCAGAGTGGGACAGGCAAGGCCGGCTCCTCGTGAATCTTCCCACCTGACGGCGGTCTGAGTCAGGGCGGCGTCAGGGTTCGGACTACAACTCCTGTGGTGGGCTTTCAGTGACCAATGAAAACCCAGAGTCAGGGGCGTAGGAAACACCGGCGGCTGACAGTCACATTAATAACTCAAAATTAATTATTTAAAAACGCTCACACTCTATCCATCAAATCGTATATTAATCCACTCCCTCTCGGCTCGACGGGACCGAAACAGCAGACGGACGCAGGAAGCGGTGCGTTAAAGGCAAAAATACTAGGCAAACCCAGGAAACAGAATTCCACTTTAATATCAGATGTCTGGGTTTTAAAAGTAAACCTCCGAGCAAGAAGGAGAAACAAAAAGCAGGGAGAAACCTTCGCTGTAGCAATTAA